ATTATCGTACAACCTTCTCAACGACTGCAACTTAGACTTCTGTGCCCGATCGACTCCTTTGTTTGACACCTTTAAGAGGTCCCAAGCTTGTTTTGCTGTTTGAGCACGAGCTAATTGCCCAAAAATGGAATAATGAACACCTTGGTGAATCTGACCCAAGGCCAATTTATCTCGCCGTATAGCGGCTGCATCAGCTCCTTCGGGTAGACCGGGATCAACAAAGCTCCAAAGATTTTGAGCTTGCAAATGTGTGGACATCATAATTTGCCAATAATTGTAATCGAGTTTCCCGTCCAATTTGGGACCCGACCATACAATATTAAAATTTGTTGCCATATTTCACTACGGGAAATATTTCGGGGTTGAAAGGTTGAATTGACTGGCTCTGTTACCAAATGTAAGATATATTAAATATAATATATATATTATATATAATATATCTATGTATTTATATATAATAATATATAAATAGGAAGAGAGAGAGAGAGAGAAAGATTAGAATGAATAATGTTTATTCACTGGGATGATTTAACAAATGAAAATACACAACATATTTATACTAAGAGAAAGCTAATAAATAGGAAGCTAATGCTCCATGTACTACTCCTATAATCTAGGCATGTTCCACATTAACATACATGACTCACCCATGTTTTTTTTTATTAAATTCTTTGACTTGGTTTAATTACTAATAATATTAATAATAATATTATTATAACAACCTTGGTTAGTCAATATCCACCACCCGAATTTAGCACTGATCATTGATTCCAAAGGTAATTAATATGCAATTGAATATTTTTCGTGAAATTATTTCATTTCCGTTTTCCCTTAGTTGTAGGTAACTAGAGCACATGCGATTTAATTGCCCCTAACTACTAAATAATCTAAGGCAAGCGCTATAAATTTAATTTAATAGAAGCAATAGGAATTAGGAAAACCGACAAACTAAATAACACAAGCACAAGCAGTTGCATTTAATTTAAGAAAATATTCTACCTGAGACCAATTATCACTAAAGCCGTCAATAATTAACCTCAGTTGCTACTGAATATTAGAATAATTTGTAGCACAACATTAACTAATATAGAAAATAATTATATCAAATAAATTAGAAGAATATTTAATACTCAAATGCATAAGAAATTATATAATAAAAATAAATAAATAATCTCATAGCATAATCAATTCCAGGGCTTCAATTTACTAAACCAAGCTAGAGAAATTAGCCACGCAGGTGACATTGATAACAACTTTAAAGAAAGAAGAAATAATCAAGAAGGGGAAGAATGAACGTTTTAACAAGAGAATTCTTCTACTATTTATACACTTCTTGATTTATTTTCTTCCACCCATTTCCTATTTTTGCGCCACACGATTGAGTCTTTTGCTAGCTGCTTTGCACGTCATCGAGTTTGCGCTGAAATTTTGACGAAGTCCTGTTCGTTTTCTGCGCCACACATTCTGTACGAAGGAAAGAAAAGGAGAAACATGAGTATAATTTTGCTTTTGTTTGTTTTTTATGCTAAGAAATTGGATTTTATTTAATTAAAAAGAGAGTGGGCAGGGGTTCTCTAAGAAAGTCAAGATCTGTGAATGGAGACAACTTCGATCAGCCTCCCCGGTGAATCCTACTCAACAGCGACTCATGGGTCACCGGAGGACCAGGACCTGCTAGAGAGAAGCACCAGAAAATAAAAAAGAGGACGGGTGGAGTTGGAAGCGGTGGTATCATCACTCCCGGAAACTGATCCTCAATTCACTTCGGTAGCGGAAGGAGCAAGGACTCCGGACTCGACCCAATGGGAGACACCAGATGTCACACCTAACCATGCATGGGGTCGATCTAGGCTAAATCAGTCGAAGAAAGTGGGTAATCAAGAGGAGGAGGCGTTAGACGACGAAGGTATGGAGGAAGATGTGTGTGCTGGAGGATTTCTAGTGATCAAGGTTATGAAAGAAGAGACAGAACGGCTACGTTGTCCATGGCGGCGTTCTCTCATTCTTCGTGTGTTGGGCAGAACGGTGAGTTACTCGTATCTTCAGCAAAGATTGTTGAAAATGTGGAAACCTGAGTCTGTGTTCGAGTTGATTGCGCTCAACAATGATTATTACATTGCTAAAATAAAATCCCTTAGAGGTTACAAAGTTGCAAAATTTGGCGGACCATGAATGGTCCTTGATCATTACGTTACTGTCCAAGAATGGGAACCCAAGTTCGACATAAGAAACAGAAAGACGGGGAAACTTCTTGCGTGGGTTCGCTTTCCTGCCATATCTATCGTGTATTTTGATGACGACTTTCTTAAGAAGATTGGGAAAACGATCGGCCGGCCGGTTAGAATCGACACCACTACAAGCCTAGAATCTAAAGGGAAATTTACCAGTGTTTGCATTGAGTTGGATATAGCGAAGCCTCTGGTTTCTAAATTTGTATTGCATGAGGCGAATTGACCCATAGAGTATGAAGGAATCCATCTCGTGTGCTTCAAGTGCAGTATCTATGGACATCGCCAAGAATCTTGTGGCAAAGATGCGGAGGAAAAGTCAGCCATGGGAGACAGCGAAGGTACTTCTACGACCGAGGGTATTTCTGCTCCTACCCCGAAACCGAAGGAGAAATACGGAACGTGGATGTTGGTGATGCGGAGGGACAGACACAACAATGGCAGAAATTATAATCGACCAACCGTGAACCAACCTAGAGACAAACAGCAAGCTCCGTTTAACAACAAACAGCCTGTGTTTGAAGGTGTAGTTACGCAATCCAGGTTTGCAACTCTGAATGGTTTAGAGGAGGCTGGAATGGTCCAAGGCCTAGAGACTCAGCAGGTGCTTGCGGATGATCAATACCAAGTTTTACCACCACCACAGTTGGTAAATAATCCCCACTGCAATCAACAACAGTTTGACCAGAGCAGGAGGGCAATGCCGCAACAAGCCAGAGTCCAAGAAGCACCTCCAAAACCAGTAGGGATAGTGGCCCAATATCAAGTTGCACCGCTCCAAAGAATAAGAATCAATGTCCAGGAGATACGGCAACAAAGCGTGCAGAGGAGGACATAAGTGCCTTTGTAGCCCAGAGGTTTTCTAGACACTCCAAGGCATTCCCAGCCTAATGGCCAAGGTGGATTCAGGAGCCCTGAGGCAAGGCGAGGGGCCCCTAACTTGTAACACCCTTGAATTTCAACAACTTTTAAAACTTAATTTAAAGGGATTAACAGTCTAAACATCAACATAAGAAAAGCGGAAGCTAACTACAATAATCCGGGAGATGTTATGCCACACCTACACAACCTTAGGTGCACAGGCAAACGCTAACTACTAAGCAGTCTAACAGTTCAACTACTTGGGCTCACAGGCCTCAACAACTATTAAAGGAAGATATCTAATCTATCTACAAACTACTAGCGCGCTCTCCAAAGCTACTCAACCTGTAAAGCAACATAAAGAAAGGGGATGACGCCCAGTCAGCGAATATTGCTGGTAACCCATCAATACGCGCTAAGTAGCATATATAGATAGTATAATACAAAATCATTTTCGAAACAGAATACAGTATATATCAGTTCAAAATCGTAAAGAGAGAAGTCAACTGCAAAGACTCTATTTCACTCTCAAAAGAACAAGGGAATCACATCCCAAGACAACATCAAGACAAGAACAACAACAGAACAACTCAACATCGCTCAAGATGTAATCTACTGATCACAAAGCAGAAAACATCAAGGCAAAGACAAAAACAACAACACGTACAACTCGAGGTGTATTCTACTGATCACAAAGTAGAATACCACTCGACATGCTCAACAGAAAAGGATAGACCAACACACATTGGAAACACATGCCACCGTGACACTACATGTCACAAGTTCCAACCTTATGCCTACCCCCGGCCTTATTACAGTTCCAACCATTACCTCCGAGAACCCCTGTACTTCTAAGTCCAACCTTATGCCTCCGGGAACCGTCGTTCCCCCGCCAACAACCGCCAACAATTCTGCCAACAAGTGGTACACGAGGGTACCGTTCATTTCAATCACACAACCGCCAACAAGTGAGCCTGAAGCCCATAATACAACTCCATAATATCATTTCGAGGCCACCACGAGGACCACTTCTGTACCTTGGTGATTAATGTCCCATTCCATTAATCATGCAATCCAGGTACAACCAACACACACATCATCATAGGAATCAATCAACGGATCACAACGAAGATATGAAACCAAACTCAATCAAGGAAAGGATCACAATCCGACTCCAACTATGACCAACACAAGTTATCATCCACAATAGGAAAGAACAAACACACACACTAGCATTTCATCATCAAACTAGCATGCTTATCAAACGGGTAAACCAAACATAGTTCCAAAGAAAATACAAGACTCATCATGGTTCAACGAATCACAAGGTTGAACACTTAGCACGATTCAAGACACCAAATCCTACATGGATTCCTACCATATAGTTCTAAACATATGAAACATCAAGAAGACACTCAAATAGCCCAACAAAAGAACATCGGGAAGTCAAAATATCAATTACCGAGTCAAAAGAATCATGGGGAACAAATCCCCAACAACCCACATTTGTGTACCCCGCGGGTGGGGCCACGGGTGGACCTCCACCCGTGGTTCCGCCTGCGGGAACCACCTTCCACAACACATGTACCCCGCGGATGGGGCAGCGGGTGGACCCCTACCCGCCGTTCCGCCCGCGGGTACATGCTTGTACCAAAAATAATCCCTTCGGGGATTTTCAACACCAAGCTCAAATTCAAGTCCAAAACACCCAAAATCTCACAAAATACAACAACATGACTTGAATCAAAGGAATAGCCAAGCAATGGCATACAAGAACCCTAATAACAAGCTCTAGATATGCATTCTCACAAGACAATGCATCAAATCTCACATTTCATAGCAAAAATCACATGTAGAAGTCAAGAAATCATCATATCGGTAAGAAAATAGATTTTGTAAAGCATGGGTTACCTCATTCGCTTAACATCATAAAACAACGCCAACTTAGGCTCAACTCATAAAGCCAAGCTACCGGGAACCTGTGGATTAAACCGGATCTCCAACTAATTAAGCTTATTAGGGGATTTGAACCCTAATATTTCCTTAAAATTAACACCTTTCTTACCAACTAAGCTAATCATCCTATTGAGAAATTAAGCAAGAATGCTAGTAAATAAACTAATGGCTAAGCTCAAGATAAACTATATAATAAAAGTTAGCAATTAAAAGCTTAATACCTTAGCAAAGTTCAAACTTAGGCTACTCGAGAACATAACCACCCCTCATCCCACTAAGCTAATTCTACACTTAAAAACCTTATAAAACAAAACTATTCTAATACTAAACTAAACAACAAAAACAAAGAAGGAAGCAGCTCACCATCTTCATTTTCGTTCTTCCCTGCTAAGGACGCCGCGGGTGGAACACGAGTAATCCCACCACTCGCCACTCCTGCTCTGCTTCGCCGGAGGTGTTGTTGCTCCTCTACTCACCAAGCTCATCAACAGGGACGGAGCCAGGATGTAATAGTGCGGGGGGCCAACTACGATTAAGTACTAAATCAAATACATTGATATACCGTTAACATATTTCAAAATAATCATTGCATTACAAATTCAATAAAGTTTAGAATAAATCATTTATAATTGAATCTATATTAAATTATTTTGCAATATGATTTTCAATGCACATTGCTTTGTATGGTTGAAAGAATGAAAACATTCACACATGTTTTAAAAGACTATTGATTATTTCTTGAAAAACCATCTTCACAACATAACATAATAGCACTTGTTTTCTCAAATACATATACTACACAATTGTTACATTATTATGCATTTTAAATTCAATACAAAATTTATCACACAACCACAAATTTACATAATTAACCAAACAAATGCACCTTGATATCCATGATTTAGAATCAAACAAAACAATTATTTAAGATAAACAATAGAATATGAAACAAAAATTAACCAAACAAGTAGTTAGAAACAAAAATAAAAAACAAAAATTAACTTGAAAAATATGCATAGATTTTGTTAATGACAAATTATCTTATTATAACGTATATGTCGCATATATGCATGGTTCTAGAGAGAGAAACTAGTAAGTAGGTTAAATGATGTTTAATTTGAATGTGAGTCAATAATGTAGGGAATACATAATTTGAAATAAGAGAGAACTGAAAAAGTTGAGAAGATGAAGAAATTTATAACTTTACCTGTAAGATTAATTAAGTGGAGGGGGCCAAATATTTTAAAGAAACAATAAAATTTTAAAATTTTATATAATATTTTTTTAAAAAAAAATTAATACATATATAACATTAAAAAAATTTGGGGTGGGGGAGGGGGGCCAAGGCCCCCCTAAGAATGCACTTGCCTCCGTCCCTGCTCATCAAGCCGGAAGGAAGAAGGATGCTACTGAGGCTACCGTCCGCCAAACCCGCCGCCGAAGATGTTTCCTCGCCGGTGCGCTCTGCCAAAGATTGCAGCTTGCCAGAGCTTTGCCGCTACTACCGAAGGGAGAAGACAATGAGGGGCTTGGTCACTCGCGTTCACTACCTCAGCTCGTCGAAAAGAGAAACTGAGCTTGCCGGAGGTGTCTTCGCCGGAACGGATGCAAGAGAGAGAGGTCGCGGTTGATGGCTGCCGGTTGCTTCTTCTCAGCTCTGCCGGAGCTCTGTCTCGACGGGAAAGGAAAGGACGGGTGAAGCTGGTGATGGAAGGAGGTTGCTCGGTTGTTCTCGACAAAGCCGAGAGGGAGAGGAGGTGTTTGAGTCGAGGTCACGGCTGCTTGGATTATAGGATAAGGATGATAGAATGCATACACACACACAAGAGATGGTAGGGTTATCTTTCTAGGTTGGGCTTAGGCTAGTTGGGTTCAAGGCTTGGTAGAAAATACACATCATTTTGGGCTCTCAAAATAATAATAACACATATATTATACGACATATGGGCTTGACTAGTTTGGGTTCAAAGCTTACATAACATATAATAAATAAATACATTTTGGGCTTAGGATGACAAGTAAACTTCTAGGCTAAAAATCATTTTTGGGCTTAAAGCATTTGGGTATAAAAATGCTGGTTCACCATACTAAATAGACCTGAGCCCATTTCAAGATAAATAGCTATATAAATATTTTTATTAAAATATTTAATATCGGGACTATAATTTATTTTAAGAAGATACGGGGTGTCACATAACTGGGCAGCAGTAGAATATGAACATATCATAGTCAGGGGCTCGAATAAAGGGAAGGAAATCGCGACGACAGTAGTTTGCCATTCGGAGTCTCAACATGAGTCACCACTACTGACTGTCTTCGAGAACACTTATGAAGAGAATCCTTCGGATGTGGCTCATGTAACACCCCGTGTTACGGTCCTTAATCCTAGATTAATTATTTAATAATTCTGTTAATAATAATTAAAAATGATTTAATTGGGTTATGATTCCCTTTAAACTAATTAATGTGGTTCACCATGGATCGTGGACCCTTGCCTAAACTAGAGTCTTAAGCCTATTAGGAATAAAGAGAGTGAACCTTCCACTATTCAGATTCTAATTAGGAATCCTAGACCTATTAGGATAAAGATAATAGGCCTTTACTACTCAGATTCTAATTAGGGATCCTAGACCTATATACTTGTTAGGAATAGAATGTAGGTCTTTACTATTCAGACTCTGATTAAGATTCCTAAACTCTATAAATAGGGGATTAGAAAGCAATTAGAACCCTTACGACCCATAGTTATATTACACGAAACTATTCCCAAGAGATTGCCCACCACCAAGCCTAGGGAGATTAATCGGATGGAAATCTTAGGGAAGAACCTTAATAGCCAAGGGAGGATTAATGAAGGCTAAGAGGTAACCCATGTCTCAACAAAACCTATTTTCCTTGCTATATCTTATTCATTGGCTCCTTTGATATATGATTCTGTGTTTGAGTCTTGATAGAGCTTTGCCTAGGGTTTATATTGTGTTTATGTGATAATCTTGATGTTTATGTGATAATCTTGATGTTCTTGATACTATGATTAATTATATGAACGATCTTGTATTTTGATTATGTCTAGAGCCCTAGGGTTATAACGTGGATTTTGTATTATGTTATTCTTGGTATGTTTGGGTGGGATTTTGCATGATCGGGTGTTGAGTCTAGCCTAGGATTTGTGTTTAAGACTTTGCATATAGATTTCTTGATGTTCTTGTGATTCCAGATGTCCCTAGATCGTTATGTGATTTGTGTTGAGTCTTGGCATGTTTAGGAATCGTGTTAGGGTGTATTTGGTGTGATTCTTGGTTTAATTCCATTACTTGAATACGTGGTGTTGTCGTTTGTGTTTGAATGTGTCTGGACATGGTTTCAGGTTCCACGAAATATCCCGGGACCGAAATATTACATACGAGTCAGTGGGGGGTAAGTGGGGGCAGGGGTGTGGCGAGCTGTCGTAGGCTCCCAAATTAAAACCTTACAAACGTAGTAGCGGGAGTAAGGATCGATCCCACGAGGACTAACTAGTTTAATGTATGTGCTCAAATTAGAGGAAAAGGGGGTTTGATATGAAACTGATATTCAAAGCAAGTAAATGAATAAAATGATAAGGACAAAATAATGAGAGCACTTATAATAGAAAACCTTGGTTAGTAAAGATCCACCACCGGAATATAACATTGATCATTGATTCATAAAGTAATTAATATGCAATTAAATATTTGTCGTGAAATTATTTCATTTCCGTTTTCCCTTAGTTGTAGGTAACTAAAGCACACGCGGTTTAATTACCCCTAACTACTAAATAACCTAAGACAAGCGCTATAGATTTAATTTAATAGCAGCAATAGGAACTAGGAAAACCAACAAACTAAATAACACAAGCACAAACGGTTGCATTTAATTTAGGAAAATATTCTACCCGAGTCCAATTATCACTAAGCCATCAATAATTAACCCAGCTGCTACTGAATATTAGAATAATTTGTAGCACAACATTATCTAATATAGCAAATAATTATATCAAGTAAATAACTAGTAGGCCTCCCTAGCAATTAAATGATACAACTATTCAAATAATTTAGAAGAATATTTAATACCCAAATGCATAAAAATTATATAATAAAACTAAATAAATAATCTTACAGCATAATTAATTCCGGGACTTCAATTCACTAAACCAAGCTAATGAAATTAACAACGAATGGACATTGATAACATCTTTACAGAATAATCGAGAGAGGAAGAATGAACATTTTACAATAGGAAACTTCTACAATTTATAGTGTTCTTAAAATAGGCCAAATGAACCTCTACCATCCATTTTCCAACTCTTCAGCCTCCCGTACGTCCGAAGTTATCCGCTTTGTCTGCTGCCTTAATCGCATGATGGAATTGAAACATTCAATTTGCTTTTGCTGGAACATTAATATATATATATATATATATATATATATATATATATATATATATATATATATATATATATGTGTGTGTGTGTGTGTGTGTGTGTGTGTGTGTATTTAAATGAGGACAAGTATATTATAGAGGATTGTGAGGACAGATGTAGTGTGTGCCATTAGCCGGTATGTCGTGTGCATGGACGAATGTAGTCGTGTGCCACAGTTTGTATGTCGCGTGCTAGATTTGTTAATTTATAGAGCCTGGGTTCGAAACCTGATATTTACATTTATTCTTGTGTGTCATTATGTATTAAATTGTGCCTGGTATTAATTTGTTGTGTGCCCATTATTTGTCCTCACAGTCCTCTATATATTGTTGTCCTCATTTGAACTCAACCCTATATATATATATATATATATATATATATATATATATATATATATATATATATATATATATATATATATATATATATATATATATATATATATATATATATATATATATATATATATATATATATATATATATATGGGGTGCGGATCCAATGAGACCCCCATATTTAATGAGATCATGAGATCACATCCCATCCATTTATACATTTGTAATGGAAGGATGAGATTGAATGAGAAATATAATGTAAATAAGGCCATATTTTAATTAGAAGGGTTAATAAATAATTCTATTAATGTGTTAATTTTGGTTAGAAATAGATTGGAATCTTTTACATAATGAAAGATCACAAAATTAATGGAAAGTAGTAGTAATCCATTCTTGTTAGTAGCTGTACCAGTCAAACCATGAACGCAGTGTGTTGAAGCACTCAAACAGTCCAGAGGTTGAAGATGGCGAGAACTAACACGGGTAGGTGCTGCTGTTTTGAATTTTAAATTGATTTTGAACGTCGGTTTGTGCATTGTGGACCTACGGTGTGTGCGTGCGAACATTTAACCCATTTGTTATTGTGTTTTGTTGATGTGCTTTGAACAATTAATATGTAACGGGAACACGAAGCAATTGGGGGGGGTGGGTTGTTTATGTTTTTTTATTAAAAAGATGAATGCAAAAGCAGTTGGGTAATGGGTAG